AGTGCTCAAGTTTTAATCATAGGGATGCTCCAGTGGTCATAAGTCTGAAAACCAGTCATAAGTCACATTTTCAGGGCTGTTGTAACCAAACAGTCATTAAAGAAATGGTTGTAAGTTGAGGACTACCTGTATGTCCTTTGAATGTATTTAAGAATTGGTATTTTTGTTCATTCTCAACTATGTCTTGTTCACAAAAGAATTCTGATGTTTATGGTTCTTTTCTCTCTCAATAGAACTAGAGACTGGAGGAGTAACTAGTACCAAACGTATATCAAAGATTTGTCATATAACCCTTTATTCTCATTTTCTATGTGTTTACCTCTTTCATATTTATACATTTTTGCTCTCTACTAAACATGTGATCATATTAATTAGTCCCTAGAGATTTTCAATATAAAGTATAGAACTGCAAGTTTTTGCTAGAATATTATTTTGAAGTTAGTGTACTTTTTAATGTAATTGCTTGCTGAAATTAGGGACTTAAACAAATCCAGCTATTCTAGAATGGATTCTTAATTTTGCATTTTCAGTATCATTTAATTTTCAGAATAATAAAATAAGATGAAACATTGATTATGTCAGCATGAACAGAGCAGTTATTCAACATTTTACTTTGTTGATTGACCTGTAAGTACCTTTCTTGAAATTAATGAAAAGAAGAAAAGTAGGGAAATGCTCAGTTATATGTAACTATTTAAAAAACATTTAAACCTTGTGCTTTGTTTAGACAGCTTACATTATTATGCACTTGTGTGACGTTCTGTTTGCTGTCTAATCTTTTGTTCTGCATTATACTGTATTTGCAGCTGATGGAGCTATACCAGCTAGGCATCTCTCCTAGATAAACTATTTTTGGCTTGTATCACTTCCTTTTTTTGCCCTGCTTGTTGCCTTTGGAACCATTATGAAGCTAGACTAGTGATGGCGAACCTTTTAGACATCAAGTGCCCAAACTGCAACCCAAAACCCATACTTATCACAAAGTGCCAGGGCTGCATCAGCATTGTGGTGCCCTCAGGGGGAGCAGGGAGGCACCTCTAAGTGCTGCCTCTGGCATGCAAAAACCAGGGGCGCAAAAATGTGCCACCGTACCACAGGGTGCAGATACCAGGTGCTGCACCATGCAAGAATGGGGCAGGGCTAGTGAGTATCACGCAGGCACTAGCTCCACCCCATTTGCAGCGCGCGTGTGCTCACAGCCCCATGAGCATATGCACACAGGTAAAATGCTTCCCCCTCCCTTTTCTTTCAGTCCATAATCAACAATCGTCGATGAGCTCTGCTCTGCCACTTCTACTCGAGCTTGCTAGTTGGCTGCTTTGCCTCCTTTGTGCTGAGCAGGGCTCCTGCTAGTGGTGGTGGCGTATGTGCCAACAGAGAGGGCTCTGAGTGCCACCTCTGGCACACGTGCCATAGGTTCGCCCCACTGAGCTAGACAGTGCTTAAAATAGAAGCCTTCTTAATTTTGAATCACTGATTTCTACTGACATTTACAAATAAAAAAAAGTTTTGCATTTTGTTGGCTTATTACTCATTGTGTTAATAGTAAAAAGAGCAAGATTAAGAAATTGTAATTAGGAGGAAGAAAATACTTCTAAGTCAGTTAGAATTAGCTCCTTTGTGAGGTGCTATTGGACTAAATCTACTTTATAAAAATGAGCAATTACTTGCCTGACACTTGGAGATTTCTTATAGAAGAAGAAACTTACTCTGCCATTTTGACTACAAAAATCTTTAATCTCATTTATTTATTAGCTTTTATGTTTGTAAATATGAGTGTGTATGTAAAAATGGTATAATATAGAAGTTTATAAAAGCTGATAGAAGTTCATGGTCTTTTTTTTTTAACTGAGTTTGAGAGTTTGTTAGGAAAACACAATCCTTGCCAAATGGTTTGCCCTTTATGTAGGTAGAGAAAAAATGCTTTTGTTTCAAGTCAGTAAGAAAATGTTTATCAGCTTAAAGAGAATTGATCAAGTCACGCTGCTAAAGGTCAGCATCAGGCCTACATATTGTCACATTTAAGTCTTCACTTAAATTGATTTTTAAATTGTTATTTACAACTGCCATATCAACAGTAAACATTAAATTATGTGTAATATAAGCTATAATATAGATAGAATTAGAAATAATTCAGTGCCTTTCACCCCTTCCCTAGGGAGATGGGGGTGAGCCATATTCTCACCTAACTTACTAACATTTATGCATTTGAATGGGATAGACTTGCTGTAATACAAATTGCAACTCAGGTACATAAATATATTTTAAGTCACATTTCATACAGTGGTCACCAGAGTCAGAAACGACTTGATGGCTCATTATTATCGTCATTGACTTTCCATCAGTAATTTTCTCTACTGTCATGAAATATTTTCGTTAGGTTGAAGAAAACTCAAGCTAGAGTTCTGACCAGTAGATATGAGAGATGAAGTTAATTATCTATTGTCAAGGCATGGATAAGGTTAATAAACAGGCAAGAGAATTAGCCACATGTGATTCAGGGGAGGTGGAGAAGAGGGAAGAGATAAACTGGATGATTGCTAATTTGGCTAGTATGGCCTCTTTTGGCTTCCTGTCCACAATCTCCTGGAACTAAAGTAAAAAACATTTAGTAGAAAAGACACCATTCCCTACATGTTTTGGGAGTAATTATTCCTTATAGGAGGTACTATTTGTACTTCCTCTGTATGATTATTACAGCTGAGCTCAGAAAGCTCTCGAGAGCTGGCAAGAGATCAGAGAAAATGAATAAGGTTGTAGTTCCTCACTCTTTCCCTTCTTGGTAAAAGATCTTTCATGCTAAAGTCCTGATTGGATTGAAACAGATTTCTAAACATCCAGGGATGTATGGAGTAATCAGTAACCACTTGCTTTTAGCACCTTACCTAGAAAAAAAGGATATAGTGATCCTGAGGACCTTAATTTTTGTATACAATTCTATAGGACTGCACTATAAATCTGGTATCTTTGGGGATAAATCCAGCAAAAACTCTTTGTGTGCAATATTTTTTTTAATTCCAAATAAATGAACTCATGTACCTGAAAGACCAAACCCAAATTCAATTCAAGCCAAAATCCCCTACCTTTAAAATAAGATTGTCCTAATCTGCCTCCTTTTCGGGATCATATTGATGCTCTTTTGGAGATAACTGTAAAATAGTACAGCATAAATCTGTTTCCTTGACAAGACTTGCCAAAGGCACTGCAGGATTTTTTTGCCTCCTATCCTCTTAACCTTTACAAACTGGTGATGATTTCCAATACTTGCTTTAAATGACTAAGACGTATGTCAAGTTAACATTAATTACAAATTAAAGTAGTTTACAACATTTCAGTGTATTGATCTATTATTGAAAAGTATTGTTAATATTTAAAGCATTTTTGTCATCCTGAAATACATATCTAAATCCCAGTTAGCGTGTAGATGAAACAAACATGATAAACTCTTTTCAGCAAACTGAAAAGTTAATTTTTCAGGAAAAGATAATTTTTTAATTTTTTTCTTGGATAGATGCTATAAAATTAGCATTTTAATCAGTTATGTTGATTTCATTAAGAATTTTAAAACATCAGCTTATTGGTTATTTTAAGCAAAATACAACAATTTTATTTCTTCCAAGACAAGTATGGTCTTTCTAGAATATGATCTTATTATAAATTCAACAGCATAAAACAATAAAATGAAGAATAAAATATTCAGTTACGTAGCCAAAACACTTAATTTATACTCAAAACAACTGTCAAATGAATTAATTCAAATAGAAGAGAAAACTCTAATTCTTTTAGCAGTTATGCTGTTAAAAGAAGTATATTTTCTATTTTAGTGCTATTGTATTTGTTAATCCGAGTATACTTTCTGTTTCTCAGAAGACCATCTTGAATGAGGAGTGCATTTTCTTTATATCTCCAATAGCATTGTAAGATTTCCTTGACATACTTGTTATTTAATTGTGGATGATTGCAAAGATACAGGTAGTCCTTAACATACAACCACAATTGAGTCCAAAATTTCTATTGCTAAATGAGATAGTTTTTAACTGCATTTTTCTCATTTTATGACCTTTCTTGACATAGTTGTTAAGTGAGTCACTGTGGTTGCTAAGTTAGTAACATGATTGTTAAGTGACTCTGGCTTCCCCATTCACTTTACTTGTCAGAAGGTCGCAAAAGGTGATCACATGACCTAGGGACACTCAACTGTCCTAAATATGAACCAGTTGCCAAGCATCTGAATTTTGGTCATGTGACCATGGGGATGCTGCAAGGGTCATAAGTGTGAAAAATGGTCATAAGTCACTTTTTTCAATGCTACTGGTCACTAAACAAGCTGTTGTACATCAAGAATTACCTGCAGTTGGTAAAGGAATGCAAGAATCATTGCCAATACTATTAAATTATAACTAAGGAAAAAGTAAAAGACATTTAAGTCCTGAGCAGGGATGGAGCATCACAAAGAGATTCTAAATATTTCCACCTTAATTCTCTATGATGCAAGAAGGAGCAGAGGAAAAAACTTGAAAGCTTTCAAGATTCTGGTATTATACTCAACAATAGAATTCCAACATTCATCTGGTTCCTGACTTGGCCTACTTAGAAAGGATAGCAATAATGAAAGTAGTCATGCTAAGAAACTGTGACTGTTTTCTGGTTATCACTTGGAACCTCTATGCCTTTCTACCTCAAATCCACATATTTTGTACTTTGTCATTTTCAGAATTTGAACTCCATATGGATGAATGATAAAGATTTGCTCCATTAATCAAGCATCTTAATGTGTAAATAGAATAAGATGCTTCAGTTTTACTTATCATTATTTTCATTAGAGGGGGTTTAACAAAATAATCATTTGGTCTATCCCGGTGTTTTCAGTAGTAGAAATTTTGAATCTTTGGTGAGTTCCCATGCACTTTATGAAAATAGTCATTTTTGCCTGGTTTAATGGGAGAACTGGTGTAGTGGGCCTTTGAATTTGACTGACTTTGATTACAATCTCTTTTTAGGTTTTTAACACATACTCTGATGAAGAATATGACCGGAGAAATGAATCAGTTGATCCAATATCATCATCTGCAGAGTATGAATTAGAAAAACGTGTGGAAAAGTTGGATCTTTTCCCAATAGACATTGAAAAAGGTATATTTTCTGAAATTGTCATAGTGAGGAGTTGAATGTTTAATATATGAAGTGCTGCTCAGATATGCACTTAAAAAAATTGGCATTTTAATACAAAAATAACTGTATATTGTTCCTTGAATCTGTAATGAGTAATCTATACTATAATTTATAGACCTAATTTCATGAGTTTTTCATTTTTGCAAGAGTTAATTCATATGAGTTTTAATCCTGTGCACACAGCACTTAAAACTCATTGGCTTCAGTGTAATTTTTAAGAAGCTTAACTGAGTGCAGTATTATGAAAACCTTGAGATACAAATTAAAAAAATATGTATATACTATTAACAAAATTAAATATGCTTAAATAAAGAGATGGGGTATTTTGTTAGCATGCATCCCAAAAGTTATAAATTATTAAGTGATGATAAGATAACCACTTGGTTTCTTAAAGTTTCTTATTTATCTGAAATGGCAAAAATTTTGGCTTATTTGAAAGATCAATCGCAAGAGAAATATATTTTGGTGTGGAAAAGATGGGTGAATTTTATACAGAATAAATTTGAGATTAGAAAATATTATTTAGCTTTTGAATAATTTATGTTTAAGGGTAATGGTTAGAATCTTTGCTTTTATGTATTGGAGTTAAAGTATTTAAATTTTGTTTTTTGGATGTATGTATAATTGTTTGATCATCTAAGTTGTTTTTAACACTATTCAGCTCTGGGAAGCAGGGGGTGGGTGGGAGGGAGGGAGTATTTTATTGTAAAATTTAAAAAACTTTCAATAAAAAAAAAAGATAACCACTGAGACACTAGTGAATCTTTGTCTTTAGAAATGTCGGGCTTAAGTCCCATGCTTGAATTCCCATTTCCAGGAAGGAAATCAGAAGAACTAAGACAAGTGCTAGCAGTGATAGATTTTCTAGAAGATAAACAATTTAAGAATAATTGTACATTAGAATTAGAGACTTCTCTCTGAATGTATCTTTTCCACTGAATGCTTTTTTTCCACTAAGTTGTATAGATAAAGGACACTTTCCATAAATGTTGTCATCTAGTAAGACTTAGAAAGCAGGTCTTCTCCAGAGTTGCCCTTGCCCTGTAAAAGAGCTGCCCACTTGAGATCATGGAAGGTTCTCGTTCCTTTAATCTTCTGGAAAGCTTTAGTGTATACATGCTGTTCAAAATATTGGGCTAAAATGAGGTTGTAACTGTCAGGGCAAGGAATCAAAAACAGCACAAGGATTTACTCCAGAACAATTTCTTCATTGTTTATTTTCTATAGATGGGAATCTTGCCAGATTAAAACATAATTTGCATAACTATTAGATATGTCCTGTGCAAGATTTGGGGTGGGGTAGGTTTCTGCTCTGGCTCTTTTTCTTCATACCAGAGATTCCCTGCTGAGCTGTCTTTTTGCTTCTTGGAAAGGCCTCCTCCCTCATGTGACTGTACTACATTTCATCACAGTAGGTTCAGATACAGACAAATCTTGTTTTGCATCACTAGGAATTATTTTGTTGGTGGTGCAGTAGTTATATGTTATGTTTTATTATGTCACTGTGCGATCCTCAGGATTATTGTATGTAAGAGGGGTGGCCATGTAAGTCTACTTCTTTGCCTACCTGAATGGATTGACCAACACTAAAGTTCAAAGTAGATGTGCAAAGTTTTTAAAATGAGGCAAGGAAAGTGTCAACTCACTCTGTTCAGTTCAAAATCTTAAGTAAAGTTCCATCTCCAACAGGTGCGAGGATTTTGTCATCAGCAAAGGGGCAGGATGTCTCCAGAGAAATTACAATCCCACATTTTAAAAGTGTTTGCTTCAATAAATTAAAAAATGGAGTGATTGATTGTCTTGACAGACAGACCAGATTAGAGATATACTTTATGGGGCTTCTGGAGGAAAGGCACAGTATAAATCTAATAAAATACATAAAAAAATCATATACCCTGCCATCAGAACACTGTCTGCCATCCTAATAACAGTCATTTGGCTATTGTTCTCCATTTTTTCCATTCATTTTTGTTCTTCATTTATTTTATAACAGATACATTTCAATCTTTTATTTTTCTCTATTTTTAAGGGAATAATTTTATTCTCCTGTCTCATTTATTCTGCTGCAAACCAATTTTATAAGTTATCTGTAGCTAATGTAGTTAAGTATATCTTCTGTAAAGAGTACTCTTAATCCCAATTTGGCCCTACTACTAAATATCTATATATTGAAAATGTAAGACTATCTTAGGCAATATTGCCAGAGGGTTTTTTGATAAGTTTATAATGTTGGGGAAATTGGAAGGAAACACAAATATGAACAACCAGTGCCAAGATGGGTGGATTCAATTACAGCAGCATTGGGTGTGCCATTGGAAGATCTGAAAGACCATATTGGGACAGTTCATTTTAGAGAAAATCTTATCAGCATAGTGATTAAGTGTTGATACTAACTTGATGGCACATAGAGAAATCAGTGACTTCTCTCTAGTGGGGAAGACTCTCTAATGCTTGCAAACGATTACTGGGAGCTTTGACATTGCAGCAGAAGTTGCTATTGTTGTCTAACTGAAAAATAACTGTGCCAACTTCTTTGAAATGAATTTATACTTTGTAATGAGCTAACTTTCCTGAAACAATTCTCACAATGTACATATAAAAATTGGGGTACTTGGCTGCTGAGTCCTGTATTAGAATCCATATTTTGTAAATTGTTTATAGGGTTAAAGTAAAAAGTGAGCAGTGAAGTAAGTCTGAAAAATTCATAGGTGATCCATAGAATCATCATTGTATGTGTATAAGTATAAACTAGCACTGATGATGTTACCTAGTTTTGTAATGAAACATCTGCAAGAAAACCAACAAGCTCGGAGAGCACCAAGGATTCCACAATTCAGTTCTGAGCTATAAATATTTATATGTATTTGTATGTATTTTTGTGCACAAAAGTTAAAATCAATTAAAAATAAAGTTCAGGATTATTCCTGTTGTTGATTAGCTTTATTCAATTTGTTTTTCAGATGAACAAGGATTTGGTATCACTATTATTGGAATGGGAATTGGAATAGATACAGGCTTTGAGAAGTTAGGTATATTTGTCAAAACTATAACTGAAGATGGGCCTGCAGAAAAAGATGGAAGGTAAATATGAATTATCATTGTTTCAAGTATCACTGAAAATTAAAGTGTATTGTGGGATAAACTTCTAAAAATTACAAACCTGGAAGAACTTATAAATAGTAATGTGTGTGTTGTTCATTGAATATGAGTACTTAAAATCAGTGAAGTAATTTATCACTTGAGTGATTTAATCAAATGAGCTAACATCAAATTTGGTTTTATTTTGACCATGCTGAAAAGTAAATCATGGTGAAGTATAAACATCTAAAAATTAAACACACATTTGACCTGTTTAACTTTCATCACATAATTGATTTGAAACATTATTAGGAGATGACATAATCAGTTAGGATAACATTAATGAGAAAGCACATCTTTGAAGAGTTGCTATTTTAATTTCACAATAAATCTACCTTTCACTATACTGTAAACTTAAATCAGTGATAACAACCATGGAGGAAAATATTTATCTATCAGGCATTTAGTTCTGCTTATCCTAAAGTTACTCTAGATCTATTGGAAAACTGGAAATATGATTAGTTATTTCTAATTGAATTCATGGAGTAAAATTTGGAGATCAATAATGAAGCATAAACAGGGCAAAATTCAAGATAAAATAATGAAATTGATAAAACACAAGTTAATTATAAAAAGTACACAGAAAACTTATCAAAAATAGTGTACTATCACTATGTTTGGAGTATTAAAGGTTTGGATATAAACAAATCACAAAGAATTAATTAAAAAGTCTAAAAAACTAGAAAGGAGGATAACATGCCAAGACTAAGAATGTCACTTAGAAGACTATTCAGACACTTGATATCAATTGCCAACAAATTTTCCTATTGATGAAGAAGTAACACAAAGTTCTTGGTATTACACACAAGAATTATACAAATATTCAATTTGGAAATTTGCTGTAAAGCCAAGTTGATCAAATATTTGAATTAAATTGCTTTCCAAAGCAGATCAGTGATTTGGATTAAGTTTTAAAAAAATAGAATCAATATACTACTAATATTAATTTCATTCAGTGCTTTTAATTGAAGAATACAACTATTTTACCTATAGACAAATACGAAGATACCTGCAGAGGCAAAGAAACTATTAACATCATACAGACACTCCTAGGGGATCTGTTCATTATTAGACTATCACAGGTGATCAATTTAACACAAATTGAAGATAGAGACAGAAAAATGATTTTGTATCCTAGTTGGATTTTATATATCTATATCTGGAATGTTTTATAACTTTTATTCAGGGATCCAGGGACCATAGAGTTTATAAAAACCACGATGGGTAACACATTAATATCTTTGGGTCTGTCTGGTGAGAACCATGAGATATGGAAGGCTGTGACTTTGTATATAAGAGGAGTAAATGTTAAGGAATAGATATAACTAGTTAGAAAGGAAAATAAGACATGTTGTTTATGAAGCTAAGAGAGAATAATTAACCAGCTCTTGAAGGATAAGGAAATTGTTACACTATTTTTTCCAACTTAACAAGTAAATATGTGGCAAATGATGACGATACCTCATCAGTGTGTACTAAGAGATCAACTGATAATATATTTAGCAACCATTAGGTGAATGAAAATTCAGGTGCTGACTGTCCACCTTTTCAGAAGAATTAGACACCTCCAGTAGAATTGAATGATAGGAGCAAGAAATCCAAAATATAACAGCTTTGAAATGCTTTTATATATCTTGTATATATCTGGTATGTTTCCCCAATGAAATATTATATTTAGTAAATGCAGTTACAAGGAATAAAAGTAGTGCCCAGTCTACCAGCTCTGCAACACTCCTGTGTGTAGAATTTGGAAAGGGTAAGTAGATTTGCAGTTTTTCTTCCAACTGTGAATTGTTACTGTACGTGCAAACAGCATGAAGTGCCATCAGGGGATTTGGAGGAGTCCTCAGGTCCCCCATATCCAGGCCTCATTCTCTGTTTTGAAAATAGCCTATACTGGATAGAGAAGTATAGTTCAGTGAAGTTATAAGCTTTCCATTTCTATTAATGGCTCAAAATGCTATCTGTGCATGTACTTGTATATGCATCTTTGAAGGGAAAGGGGATCTTCACTGGATTGGATTGTGATGTGGGTGAATATTTTATATGGAACAGTCTATGCCTATTAGGATGACTATCTTTTAGGAGTTGCTTCAATTGTGGAATAATAGTCTGATGCGCCCCAAAGTGAGGAGAGCTGCTGCAGCCTTTGAAAACCAGCTGGAAAGTGACTTCTGCTTGCTTTTTATCTCTCTGGATCAAAGAGAGATCTAAAGATCAACATGGGTTGATCTCTAGATTTCTCTAGAGATTTCCTTTTGCAGCAAAGATTCCTTGATACAAAAGGTTGCAGTGGATAAGGAAATATTATTTACTCTAGTTTTATTTTTTACTTTTGAAGAAAATGCTTTGATACAATTTGTAAGTAGTTTAAATAGAAAAGCCAGGCATTCAAATTTTTGTTAATTATCTCTATAACAATTACAGCAATACTATTATATGTTCAAAAAGTGATAAGGCTCAACACTGCTGATTAAATGGAGGTAGAGATGGCTAAATTAACCTCTTTGATTAGGGAAAATACCACCTGTAATTTTGATTAAATGAAAACTCTTCATAGACTTTTTCTATGAAATAGAAAAAAAACACCTATGATTTATGGTTTTGATGATAAGGAAAAATGGATTAGAGAAATTATTTTTGGAATCATTGAGTAAGGAATAATTCTGTAAATGGAATTTGATGGAAAGGAAACAGGAACTATCTATTTTTTTTTTCTTTCAGCACTTTTGCTTTCTCTTTTTACTGCTGTATTTATTAGTTTGTTAGTTTTTAGGTGCTTTGTAAAACTCGAATTAATGAAGTACAGAAAAAAATACTTCCACTAAAATTGTCATTCAAACCGCAGAGTAATGACTTAACTCAAAAAAAAATTTTTAGTGTTGAAAACCTGATTTTATAATTGTTATGTTAACTATAATTAGTATCAAAGAACATGTCCATTCTTTATATGCTCTTTTCTATTTCCAAAAGATAGAAAATTATGGAATATTTAAACTATTCAACTGAAAAAACTCAGATTCTCTAAATATATTCTTTCTTCTGATGAGGGAAAAATAGTTTCTTATATATAGATCTTTATGAAAATGTATTCTGTTGTAATACAAAGGAGGCTATGTCAATCTTTCCTACATATTTCAAAAAATGAGTCATAAATGAGAGGTAGTCAGTGGCAAGTAAAAAAAAAAAGCAGGATTGAAAAGTCTCTGAAATTTAATTCTTAAATAAAGACCCAAAAGTAGGCAACCTTTTTAATCAGTTGGCATATCTGGCATTTTTTGAAGCATATTGTGGATGTCACACAATGGTTACCATGAAGGGGTTGCCTGTTCATAGAATAGTTGTGATGGAGAGAGGAAAAAAAGATACTCTTATTAGTTCTCCAGAAGATACATCCCAAAGCTCCATCTGTTATTATGTTATTGATAGAGAAAAAAATCTCAAGTAAAGAGGACTGAAAGAAGGTACTCGGGATACTAATAATTCTGGCCCCAGCAGTTCTTGAGAGGTAACATCAGACCCCAATACTTGTGACTCTGACAATGGTAATTCAAACTTTGAACCAGAGTCTTAGTTACCCAGACCAAAGGAATAATGACAACTCTGTAGAGTTAAGCAACCCACCCTTCCCAATCTCTTAATTACAAAGAGAAGGACTTGGTTCAAGAAATTATACTTGGGAGTAGCCTAATGCTGCAAATCAGAATAATAGCCTTCAGTTTTCAAGAATAGGTGAAGAGCTCTAGGTTTCATCTTTGTGTCATCCCAAGTTTGAACTTAATCTTATATCCCTTGTATATATTGTAGGCTTTTCTGATGTTTTTCTGGGAACATCAATCTCTGTTTGAGTCTAACAATTAAGAACATGAGTGTACATAAAATGGCAGAAAAGTGAGAGTCTAGAGGTTCAGCTGAAGGGCTCAACCAGCCCCAGTTTAGACTCTTATCAAAATCAGAAATATTTTATTTAGTCTGGGGTTTCAGATAAAACTAAATCTAGATTGATAGATACCGCAGCACATCATTTATCTTCCCTCTCTACAGCTTCTAGAAGGTCGCTTGCTTTTTCCCCCTAAAAAGATTCATATCATGTCACAATCACAAAAATTCTTTGTGGCTCATAAACCCAAGAAGTCATGGGAGTGTCAGCCTCTTTACCTTCTCAGCCTTTCTTTTCCCACTCCACTGTTATCAATGTTCCAACACAGCATATCCCACTAACCTTTCCAGAGACTTTATAGGAAAAGCAAAATAGCAATGAATCAACTAGAAGGTGTTCAAATATCTCCACCTGCCATACCATTTGTGTGTGTGTGTGTGTGTGTGTGTGTGTGTGTGTGTGTGTGTGTAAGTTGAGTTGCATTTAGCAGAAAACTTTACTGGGTATGATCAAAATGTCATTTGTTTCAAGAGTCAAGTTGAATTACTGGTTGCATTACTAATTTGGTTTTACTTAAATGCAAACTTAAGAAATCAGAAGGAAATTGAATGGTGAAAAAGAGTTGAGCCTCAGTACTGTGCAACATTATGCTTCCCTCTTTACTCTTGTAGTGTCTTTTATTCCAGTGAGTATCCATTTTTGATAACGAGTTTGTTTATTGTTATTGGTTCAAAATGTACACAGCTGTATTCATAACTTGCCACAATACCTGATACTGAATAATTTTGAAGAAAGTTCAAAAGCATTTGATTTAAATTTCAAAAGAGGCTTCAGCAGTGGACTAGGGCCAACCTTCTGTAACTTTCATTAAGCAGATTATAAGATGTCATATATTTCTTTACATGTCTGTTGTTTTTATTTTTTCTTAAAGGATGCAGTTAAATGACCAAATTATTGAAGTAGATGGAGTCAACATGGTTGGTGTCTCACAGGATTTTGCCTCTGCCGTTCTTAGACGTACTAAAGGAAGAGTCAGGTAACATTTTCTAGGAAACCCTAGAAAAGAAATGAAAATAAATTTAATGCAACTATGCTATGAAATAAAATTTAATGAAATGAAAATAAACTTAATGCTACTGTGTAATAACACAAATAGCGTAACCCAAATAAATGGAGTGAAAACAATTACATTTTCAAAAAGTGCTCTGCATTAATATATCTATACTTAATATAAGTATATTAGATATTAAATATTATTCTACTGGTTGTTACTTCACATTTGACAAATGGTACAGGTGGCCCTTGCTTAATGTCTTCTCATTCAGCACTGTTTAAACTTATAACAGCAAGACTGTCTATCTTTCTGGCCATCAGAGCATCTTGCAGTAACGTCATGACAATCTAGATATTTAGCAGCTGGCTTGAAATTATGATTTGCACTCTCTCATATTAGGAAGGTGGATAATGTTTAGTCATCTGTGTGAATTTAACCTTTTAATTCTCCTGCAGCATTCGTTTCTAAACATTTCACTTTCCTTAGTTAGAAGATTTCTGTTACTTTTAAAAATTTCCTTTAAAAAATTAGACATTACAGATAGTCCTCAACTTATGGCCGCAATTGAGCCCAAGATTTCCCTTGCTAAGCGGGACAATTGTTAAGTGAGTTTTGCCCCATTTTATGACCTTTCTTATCACAGCTATGTGATAATATTTAAGGGACTCTGCAACTAGCTGAGATTTATGGCCATTTGCAGCGCCCTGTATATGACTACAATTTATGATGTTTTGCTGGAAACCTGTGTTTACTTATGCTTCCTGGCAAAAGAACACCCCATAGTGAACAATGGCTTTCCTTTACGACCTCTGTGTTTGTTTAATTATTGCCACAAAAAAAATGATAAAATTGGGCCTGGTCACAAGGTGACCTGCTTACAATAATCATAACTTGCAATTGTTATTGCCAGGGTCAATTATGGTCATAACTCTAGGATTATCTGTGTTATATAAAAATAGTTTTCTAATTTTGAGGACATGCATACAACCTCAGGATTATAAAGGTAAGTGAAAGCTACATGCTCTTTTGCTCCTGTATGGGATGTATGCATGTGTGCAGCTTCTTACATGATCCCTTAGTCTTGTGCTATTTTGAATGTTGTTATTCAAAATGTTTCAACTGTTTCTCCTTTATTGTATAGAACAGTCAGAAACAGCTATCTGGTATAAAGGGCTTGGCTCCTTAATACAGTCTTTCTTCTTTTCTATAAAGTCAATAGAACAAAAAATACACAAATTGATATACATAACTTCAAGTGCTTATTTAGTAGAGACATCTAAATTTGCAGATAGTAAAAACACCTCTGCTGCTTCAGAGAATCTAATTTATAAATTTATTCTGCATCAAAAATGTAAATGATTTGTAATTCCTCATTTAAAACAAATTTAGTATAACTCAATTGCACTATAAAATATCTGCTTTAAACAAAAGGTTTGGGCTTTGATTATGCCGTTCCCTTTATTTGATAAAGTGAATATAAGTCCACAAATGTTTAAAGCCATATTAGTTGTAAGATGTTCCAGTATTGTTTTCTATATTTGGATATTTAGTAATAAGAGAAGAGGGGGGAATTATCCTTGTTCATTTATGTTCTCCTCAGGTTTATAATAGGCAGAGAAAAAGCAGGCCAAGTAAGTGAAGTGGGTAAATTGATTAAACAGACCATAGAGTATGACCAGCGCCACAGAGGCCGCCATTATGCCCATTATGAAGCTGATGATGATGATGATGAGGTATCCTGTTCATTCATTCCTTATTTATTTATATTTCATTCTTTCTACTTTTAACATTTTTTGGTAGTTGCAGCTGGAAATAATACCTTCTTCCAAAGTTAACTATTTCACTATTTTCTGATACTTTTTTGAAGTCAAAAACTGAGAATCCAGGTTTGATTATTTTTAAAAGCTTCTAGTTTTCACTTTAGTTGCCATTGCGAAAAAGAAGAGATAGGGATCCCTAATCTTCAAGCATACAAATGGGTAATTCACACTTAGATAGTAAAGTTATTGCAAAATAAGTAATATAAAAAACTGCTTTTCTTCTCATCTAGAACAGTTCTAGAATGTTCCACCTTCCTGGTTCCATTATTTACAGATTTTCTAACTTTTATTTGCTATTAAACTTGATTAGATTTACTTGTCTGGGGAATTTTTTTGTAGTAAAACCAACTGACTCTTTTGCTTAGTGACAGTATGTTAAAAATTGTTTAAACAAATTGTTAAAAAAATAAATTGGCTTCCAAGACAGAGGAATATGCTACAGATGAAGATGAAGAAGATATTGGGGCCTTTTCAAGAGGCAGAAAGACCACTCACTTCTTTGAATGTCCTGAAAATGATGACATGCTTTCTCCGAAAGAACTGGAAAGATTGGCTCAGAAATTTAAAGAGGTAAACCAGAGAATTAGAAATTAGAAATTGTAAAACAAAAGCTTGTATTTGGGGTTCAGAAAATATTAAAAATATTTTCACTGGTACAGTCTCCTCTCAGTGCAGAGTGTAATATTGCCCATTTGCATTCACGGTTAATGGGTACATGGCTTGAGCACAATTAGAGAATTGTGCTTTTTTAATTTTTAATTCTCTAATTCTGATTTATCCTACAGCAGCCACCAGATTGTCTGTAAGACTATAACCAAGTTATGAGATCAACAGTTCTCTTCCATGATTCCTTTCAAACTGGTTTTTGGAACTGTGGTAACACAAATCCGTTTTCATTTCTTTCTTTAATATCAGGAAAAATCTGCAGAGGGACATAAGAGCTTCCCTTTGTCTTAGATTTAGAAGACGGAAGCAGTTGGTTTAAAATAAGTGTTGTATGATAACAATAAAAGGAATTGGCTAGAGGATGAATTTCATTCATCAGTGTTATATCCCTCTTTATCTCCAGGACCTCTAAGCAGCATTTATAGCGTTAATTTCTCCAGTTTTTCCCCAACATAATAATTGAGAAGTTGATTGAGCCAAGAGATAAATTATACGGCTAAATTTAACTAGTGAATTTCTATGCAGTGTAGATCAGGGGTCTCCAAACGGCAGTGTTAAGATTTGGGGACTTCAGCCCGGCTGGTTGTGCCGGCTGGGGAATTCTGAGAGCTGAAGTTCACAAGTCTTCAACTTGCCCGATGTAGATCATCCCTAGCTTAATCCAGCCCCTTGTCGTCTCTTGTCAGACTGATGTTCCACATATCTCTTCATCTTATAATAGAACACTGCCTTCCGTATCCAAGAAAAGGTTACCTGTGTTTATACTGAAACAGTTAATTGTGTTCATAGAGGTTCATTCCCAAGTAATTATTGGATTGCTTCTATTACTTTGTAGGCACTACATTTTGAATTTAGTTAGGAGTAAACATGATTAATTTTACAAAATTTCTATTGCTGAGATACTTTTTTATGCTACATTTATTGTGTGCCATATTATGTTCTACTCAATTATCTAAATACAACTGGTGTTCATTGTTTATACTGATAATACAAGAACCTGTTTTAATAGCAGAGAAAACATTGAGTAAACCATCTGTATGTGGACAGATTGTAGTTTTCAAAGCTATTTGAAAACCTGCTTGTTTAGAAACCTAAATATAGTTCAGTGGCTTATAGTATTATTTTAGAAGGGCAGAAGCGACTATAAGCTTTGAGGATAAGAGTGATTTATGGCTTTATAATTTTTTTAAAAATCCAGTTCTGGAATTCATATTTTCAGATCCCTCCCCTTTTCCAGCCACCAAACCCATTAAAATGGGCACAAACTAAGCAGTTATTCTGCAGTTAGTTGGACAAACACATTATTTATTGTAACTCTGGAATGGAAGACATTTACAACCAGTTTTAGTGCTGTCGTATCTGGACTACAAAATTCCAGATGTGGAATATGCTCTTGCTGCCAACTACTGATCAAGTCAGTTTTGCAGTCTACTTCTGCTTATAAGCCATACATTTTATTCCTGTCCTTCACATCAGACTTTTCTCACAGTTTATCAAATATTTAATTGAAGAAAATTGCAAGTTTACTTTTTTTTTTTTTACATTTTTGCTGTGAATATCTGTCCATAAAGCACTCTTTCATTAGCAGGTAAATACTTTCTTGGCTGTTACCCAAGCAGATTTTGATCTGGTGTTGACCACTGTTTAATTTATCTGACCACTACTTGTTTGTTTGTATCACAATCTTTTATTTTCCATTCATCATCATAATTTTTATTTTAGAGTTGAGATAATTTGTCTTCCCAGAAAGTTCCAAACCTGGAATTTATGTTTCGGAGATTCTAAGAAATAAAGGTAGAAGGAAGATAGCTTAAAAAAATATTCAATTATTTTTAACAGTTTGAGGGTTGCAAACTTTTCCTTTTGGTTAGAGTATACATGTATATTTCTATTGTTTCCTCCATAGTATTGATGTATTTCATAGGTTATTTCAGGTTTTGCTGCTACCTTAGGACATGTCTGCTTAAACAATTGCACTAATATTTTTTTAAAGTATTTATATGCACTAAAACATTTAAACCCAGACTGGCTAAGAAATTGAATATGACAATACATCTTTAAGAAGAAATGACTTCACTAGGCAATTTGAATATCCTAATCTTAGGAGAGGCTAGCCAGCAATACTTTTTCTTTAATTAACTTGCATAGACTGAGTCATTTTTCAGGTTAGATATTTTAGTTTATATTTGAATGCATGACAGCACTCTTTTGAGCCGCCCACTGCATGTACAGCAAACCTGACATAGATAGGCAGATCTCTCAAGATGTATGCAGACACAAATATATGTATATAAGAACAATGGCGTTTCATCTCACTTGTTTGTTTTGCATTTTTAGTTGCAAGTCAAGCATTCAATTACAGAAACTGAGATTAAACAGCTGAAAAGAAAGGTAAGGATGATTACGATTACCAAATGACAATATTTCTAGTTTCAGCTGGATTAAAAGAGAAGCAAAGAAAAGTTATTTTTAGAAAGGTGTAAGAAGAAAAAGTAATATCCTTAGTTGATTTAGGAGAATTTGTGTTATAGAAATAGTTTTACAAGTAGGCCTTGACTTATGACCACAATTAAGGCCAAAATTTCTGTTGCTAAGTGAGACATTTATTTAATGAGTTTCGCTCTGTTTTACTATATTTGTGGCCATAGTTGTTAAATGAATCACTGCAGTTGTTAAATAGATAACATGGTTAAGTGAACCTGGCTTCCCCATTGACTTTGCTTGGCAAAACGTGATCACATGATGCTGGGCCACTGCAACTGTTATAAATATGAGTCACATGACTGTGGGGATACTGTAAGTGTGCATGGGATTTCGTATAACCACTTGTCCCACCACATACATCGGACAAACCAACAGAAGAATAAGTGCACGCATTGAAGAACATAAGAACTCAGTCAAAAAAGAGGAACCAACATCTTCCCTGGTCCAACACCTTAAAGCCACAGGACATGAAATTGACTTTAAAACTACCAGAACCATTGCCAAAAGTGAACATTTTAATAACAGAATAATCAGAGAAGCCATCGAGATAGAAAAACGCCCACACAGCATGAACAAGCGAGATGATACCGCCCGCCTACCAGCCATTTGGAAACCCGCCCTTATTGACAAACAACTCCCTAACACAAAAAATGATACCAGACCTACACTCACAAAACCCACACAGGATGTCACCACCACACATCCACGCAAAAAGCAAACCCAAAGCCACACCGATGATGAGGCACGACCACAAACCAGAAGCCAGACCAGAACTGCATCATTAGCCACTTTAACCCCCCCCAATCCATACATGAAGCAAACTGACACCCTCCATGAAGATGAGGCACGACCACAAACGCGAAGCCAAAAAATAGCAAGGCAGCCCAAAATCTTAAACCCCCCTGCAACTCAGACTAACCTGAGCACAACCAAACAGAACACTCCCCCAGCCAATCAGAGCACAGCCAAGCCCCTAACCAATCAGAACACACCTCCACCCCATCAGAACACAGCCAAGCTCCCACCCAATCAGTTCATACCCCCACTGGCAGTTAAAAGGAAGAAACAGCTAAGACCACACATTGCTGCTCAAAGCACGAAGCTGAAAACAACAGCCTGAAGATGACGAATGGGACTTCGTCGAAACGTCGCCAAGACACTTCCAATTTTACGTGGGAGAAAACCCGAACAACCAAAGACCTACATACAAACACCCGTGAAAACCTCAGAAAACATATATATATATATATATATATATATATATATGCTGGAAAATTTGCATAAAAATACGACTCCTGGGCATGTCTATGGTACAAATAAAATACGAACACCAGGAGAGTATAAATATAAAAATATACTTTACTAAAAGCTGACAAGCTTTCGTTTGGAAACTCCAAACATCATCAGGGCTAAGGAGCCAGTAAACAATGATGACTTAAATGGGTTTTGCCGGCATCTGCACCCGGCTCATGGACCGCGTCACTGGTCCCGGCCGGTTAATTAGTGTTCCGGATGTTTCTTTATTACTCTGCTTACGCTTCCTTCTCTGGGAGGATGACCATTATCATGGACAAGACGCTGTATACCACCAAGGCGCTCGAACTCCTCAATGATAGAACAGCCTATAGAATAGATGAGAAAGATCCCTCAGTTACCCTTAGGAATAAAATCAACGAACTGCTTAATAATCTTAAACGCAGTAAGAAAATCGGAGATGGTACCCTAAAGAAGATACGCCCCCATGACAAGGCGCTCACTAGATTTTTATGGGCTCCCAAAAATCCACAAGGAAGGCACCCCACTTCGCCCTATCGTGTCATTTATAGGTACCCCTACATCGGGATTAGCGAAGTGGCTTAGCACTCATCTGGGCCACCTTGTGGAAGGTAGACCCACAACAGTCAATTCTGCAGAAGAATTCCTCAACAGAATTAAGACCCTTAGGGTGGAAGATGATGAGAGGATGGTATCGTTCAACGTTACCTCCCTCTTCACCTCCATCCCCCAGGACTTAGCTATTTCAGCCCTGGGAGAGCGCTTGAGGAATACAGAAGGGAGCCACCACCAGGACTCCCTTCAGACAGACGACCTTCTGCGATTAGTGGAAATATGTCTCACCACCTATTTCACCTTCCAGGGTACCATCTTCGAACAAGTTAAAGGGACACCTATGGGCTCCCCCATTTCTAGCACTATAGCGGAAATAGTACTCCAACACTAGAACACAGGGCTATGGCCTTATACCAACCCAAATTTTGGGTTCGGTACGTGGATGACACGTTTGCGGTTGTTAAAAAACAACATGTAGCTACCTTTATGAGAGTAATAAACTCGATCTGCTTCGACATCCAGTTTACAGTGGAGGAAGAAAAACAAGGTCACCTAGCCTTCCTGGACGTGTCAATATATCACCAGTTGGATGGGACGTTACTTACAGGAGTGTTTCGTAAACCCACCCACACGGACAGAATACTCCACTATAGGAGCAACCACCCCGTATCTCATAAAGCTAGCTGCATTAAAGCATTGTTTAAGCGCGTGGACTCCCACTGCAGCACTGAGGAGTTTAAGAAGAAAGAAAGGCAATACCTTTTCCGGATTTGTCAACGTAATGGGTATCCTTTGAGGTTTATCAGACAGTACGGTCTTACACCCCAGTCCCGGAACAACCAAAAGAGAGAGGAACCATTATTACAAAGAATGCGTGTTTCCTTGCCATATATTAATAATGTCTCGGAAGCAACAGCCAGACTGCTGGCCCCCCATGGAATAGAAGTGGCCCACAGACCCAATCAGACATTACGGTCCAAAGTCGTTCGCCCCAAGGACCCACTCCCTGCCATGGATAGATCAGCAGTAATCTATAAAATCAATTGCAAGAACTGCGATGGCAATTATGTGGGTGAAACAGCTAAGCATTTAAGATCTCGCTTGCATGAACATCAGTTAGCTATAAGAAGGGGCGAGCAGCATTCTCAATTGTGGATGCATATGGCACAACATGGCCACCAGTTTGACTTTGTGAATGTTCGCGTTATGTCTGAGGACGGCACTAAGGGAGGCCGGCTATTGAAAGAGGCATGGTATTCCAACAAAGATGCGGTTAATCGTCACATTGACTTACATCCAGCGCAACAAGCACTGAGGAAATGGGATTTTAAACACCATGCCAATCATTATAAACTGTCTGAACAATGCTTGTACAGCTGTAAATGTGACAAGATACCTGGCCTCCATCCTGAGCAGATAGATGGAACTTTGGCTAACCCTCGACACTCCAGGGGCACCCCCGTTTTGCCCGATCAACACCAATACCGCTCTAATGAACGTCTGAGGAGGCCACCACTGTCAAACACACGTAATCATCCACCGATGGAAGATCTCCCCCTTCCCCAATATCACCACAATAGACCCCCACCCCTGGAACTTAACAACAACTGTGGAGAGTGTGGAAGATCCAGCATGAGGAGTCTGCAGCCTGACGCTGTGGGGAACGTCGACGAAGATCAAAAGAAAAAAGGCGGGGAGAAGAAGAACGAAAGCACGGCTCAATTGCCTAGGCATACGGTGAAAGGGAGAGACACGGTGTTCTGCCTGGACCCTCTGCAGACAAGGAATACCCCCACCAACAATACACCCCCCTGGGACGAACACTTTGAAGTCCCCCCAAAGACGAGCACAGGAGAGGAGAGTGAGAACGCGGGGAATCAGAATGCAGAGATCTGGAAACCTGGTGTCTGCCTGAATACCGTTCCTATCAGCAATGGGGAAGGGCATGCGATAGGGAGGAGGGAGGATGATGAACTGAGAGATGGAATAAGCACCCGATCACGCAGCAAACAAATGGAACGGTGGAGAACTGTCGACACGAAGATTGCCAGGACGGAGGAGGAGGGCATAGACCTCCAAATACGCAACACCCGTATGAAAGTTACTCATGACAGTGGAGGAGTGAGAAGAAAGGGTATGGAGCAGGGATTGAGAAAAGCGTGTGTGGGGGGGAGCGTCTGTGAGCCCAGGGAAGCTTGTAACACTGATAGAGGAGAAACAGATGCCCCCAGGGTGGAAAATGAAAACAAAAAGGGGAGGAGGGTCAGTACTATGGAAGGAAATAAGGATAAAGGGGTGGTGGAGGAGATGAATGCCAGTAATGAGATAGTGGAAGGAATGATCCAGAAGAACCATAGAAGGAAGCGTAAGGAGAGTAATAAAGAAACATCTGGAACACTAATTAACCGGCCGGGACCGGTGATGCGATCCATGAGCCGGGTGCAGATGCCGGCAAAATCCATTTAAGTCATCATTGTTTACTGGCTCCTTAGCCCTGATGATGTTTGGAGTTTCCAAACGAAAACTTGGCAGCTTTTAGTAAAGTATATTTTTATATTTATACTCTCCTGGTGTTCGTATTTTATTTATACATACATACACACACACACACACACACACACACACACACACACACACACACACACATATAATTTATTTATTTTATTTTATTTTTAAAATTTATAAGCCGCTCCACTCCTGGAGGACTCTGGGTGGCTAACAATAAAAAAACACATAAAACATAACAAAACAAACAGTACAAGAACAGTCATCCAGGGGTCAGATTTTATAAACCCCAGGCCTGCCGGAAAAGCCAGGTCTTAAGCAGCTTACGGAAAACCAACAGAGTGGGAGCGGTCCTAATCTCTGGGGGGAGCTGGTTCCAAAACGTGGGCGCCATCACAGAGAAAGCCCTCCTCCGCGGCCCCGCCAAATGGCACTGCTTGGCCGACGGGACCTGAAGGAGGCCCAGCCTGTGGGATCTAACTGGACATAGGGAACTATTAGGTAGTAGGCGGTCTCGCAAATAGCCTGGCCCTGAGCCATATAGGGCTTTAAAGGTAATGACCAACACTTTGAATTGGACCTGGAGACCAATAGGCAACCAGTGCAGCTCACGGAGGATAGGTGTAACGTGGGTGTATCGAGGAACACCCACTATCACTCGCGTGGCTGCGTTCTGGACCAACTGTAGTCTCCGAATACTTTTCAAGGGTAGCCCCATGTAGAGCGCGTTGCAGTAGTCCAGATGTGAGGTGACAAGGGCATGAGTGATTATAAGGAGAGCCTCCCAGTCCAGGTAGGGTCGCAACTGGTGCAACAGGCGAACTTGTGCAAAGGTCCTCCCAGCCACAGCCGTCAAATGATGTTCCAAATTCAGCTGTGGATCAAGGATGTATATACACATGTACATACACAGACACAGACACACACACACACACACAAACATACATTGGGGCAAAAAAGTATTTAGTCAGCCACCAGTTATGCAAGTTCTCCCACTTAAAACGATGAGAGAAGCCTGTAATTGTCAGAGAGACAAAATGAGAAAACAAATCCAGACAATCACATTGTCTGATTTGGAAAGAATTTATTTGCAAATTATGGTGGAAAATAAGTATGTGGTCAATATCAAAAGTATTTTGATATTTTGTTATATATCCTTTGTTGGCAATGATAGAGGTCAAACATTTTCTGTAAGTCTTCACAAGGTTGGCACACACTGTTGCTGGTATGTTGGCCCATTCCTCCATGCAGATCTCCTCTAGAGCAGTGATGTTTTGGGGCTGTCGCTGGGCAACACGGACTTTCAACTCCCTCCAAAGGTTTTCTATGGGGTTGAGATCTGGAGACTGGCTAGGCCACTCCAGGACCTTGAAATGCTTCTTACGAAGCCACTCCTTCATTGCCTGGGTAGTGTGTTTGGGATCATTGTCATTGCTGAAAGACCCAGCCACGTTTCATCTTCAATGCCCTTGCTGATAGAAGGAGGTTTGCACTCAAAGTCTCACGATACTTGGCCCCATTCATTCTTTCCTGTACACGGATCAGTCATCCTGGTCCCTTTGCAGAGAAACAGCCCCAAAGCATGATGTTGTCACTGCCATGCTTCACAGTAGGTATGGTATTCTTTGGATGCAACTCACCATTCTCTCTCCTCCAAACACGACGAGTTGTTTTCTACCAAACAGTTCTACTTTGGTTTCATCTGACAATAGGACATTCTCCCAATCCTCTTCTGGATCATCAAAATGCTCTCTAGCAAACTTCAGACGGGCCCGGACATGTACTGGCTTAAGCAGGGGGACACATCTGGCATTGAGTCCCTGGCGGCGTAGTTTGTTAACTGATGGTTGCATTTGTTACGTTGGTCCCAACTCTCTGCAGGTCATTCACTAGGTCCCCCCGTGTGGTTCTGGGAGTTTCGCTCACCGTTCTTGTGATCATATTGACCCCACGGGGTGAGATCTTGCGTGAAGCCCCAGATTGAGGGAGATTATCAGTGGTCTTGTATGTCTTCCATTTGCTAATTATTGCTCCCACAGTTGATTTCTTCACACCAAGCTGCTTGCCTATTGCAGATTCAGTCTTCCCAGCCTGGTGCAGGTCTACAATTTTGTTTCTGGTGTCCTTCGACAGCTCTTTGGTCTTCACCATAGTGGAGTTTGGAGTGTGACTGTTTGAGGTTTTGGACAGGTGTCTTTTATACTGATAACAAGTTCAAACAGGTGCCATTAATACAGGTAATGAGTGGAGGACAGAGGAGCCTCTTAAAGAAGAAGTTACAGGTCTGTGAGAGTCAGAAATCTTCCTTGTTTGTAGATGACCAAATACTTATTTTCCACCATAATTTGCAAATAAATTCTTTCCAAATCAGACAATGTGATTGTCTGGATTTGTTTTCTCATTTTGTCTCTCATAGTTGAGGTCTACCTATGATGACAATTACAGGCCTCTCTCATCTTTTTAAGTGGGAGAACTTGCACAATTGGTGGCTGACTAAATACTTTTTTGCCCCACTGTATATATATTATATGCGCTTTCTTTAGAAAGCACAGTTTTTCTTACGTTAAACAAACAAAAAGTTGTAGCATTTTTGAAAATGTTGTTTTATTATTTAATAAGAGACTTTTTAATCACTTTAATAACCCTTGTTACTTCTAACTTGCTTTGGGAGACTTTAATTTTCCTTGCTTTGATCAAATATTATATTTTAGAATCAAAACCTTGTCAACTTATCTATCTTGCTGAGGTCTTTATATTGTTATCTTTGAATTCATATTTAAATTCAGAATGAAATTACATTGTTTCTGACATTTGAATTGTGCCCAATAATTTTTAGAGTTCTAATTTTTAATGTATGTTCACAACCCTTATAATTCTGTAACTTTTTTAGAAGTAAATGTTAGACATGAAATTAAAAATAAAGAATGGTTCCTTAATATGAAAGCACATAGAATTGAAATAACATTATACGTAACATACCAGATATGTTGAACCTAGTATTAATGTACTCAAATACATCAAATTTAATTTCATTTATCACTGTTCATTTATCATTTATCACTGTTAATAATACATTTCATAAAGGTTTCTTTAAGCACTTAAATGCTATTTTTTAACTATAAGCATCTACGTAATGCATGGTACTGTTAAACATGGTATCAGCAAACTACGCCTAGCAGTTATTTGAACTATAATTCTTTAAAATTATCAGTTGCATTGGTCAGTCAGAATCTGAGAGTTTTAATATCAATAAACTAGAGGGCACTACATTGATGAAAAATATGGTTTATTTATTTATGAAGATTAATAAACCTGGTCCACTCAAAATATTTTGGAATTGTAATTTTCAATTAAAGTCTGCAGAACTAGAAAACATGAAATTGGGGAAAGCTGTACTGAATTATTGTTATTCTAAATAATAGTAGCTATACTCCCAACCTTTTTTCCAGTCAATTAATCTGAATGCATAAACTTGTAACTTACATTTTCTCCAGCTGCAGATTGCCGAAAATGAGAAAGTAAGGTGGCAGATGGAAAGGAACATACTTCACCAGAGCATTAGGGAAAACAAGGAAAGGATGGCGAAAATAGAGGGTTATTGGGTTGAAGCACAAAGTCTGTGTCATAATGTAAATGAGCATCTGAAGGACTCACAGGAACAATATCAGGCCTTGGAGAAGAAATATAACAAAGCTAAAAAACTAATCAAGGACTTTCAAGAAAAGTAAGCAACATCATTGTGCTTAGTCAAGAACCAATTCCCAGACTGTGAGGACAAGCAGAGAACCAATGTAAAGTAGTCATCCAACTGATTGAGGGAATAATTAATTTAGATCTCTGCTCAGCCACAAATTATCTGGTTGACTTTAAGCTTCTAGAAAAAAAGACTGGATATAAATTGTTCAGTGAGACATTTCACCAGATAAAATATGTAAGATTGCAGTTAAGAGATTTTAAAATGAAGAACAGATTGTGCTATAAGCCTCCAAATATGATTTACCCAAAAAATGCCTATATGCTTAAAGCCTTCCAAAATGTGTATGTCCATTTAAGCTAAAATTACAAATTTATTCAGTAGACCAAACTGATTGACATATAGCTTTTGAAATATTTTAAATATGTTCAAAATAAGCAACACTAACTAAAAATTTAATGCCTATATATCACAGCTTTCCTGTCTGTGGAGCAAACTATATGACATACTTTTAATAACATGGATTTTCCTTTTTTTTTCTAATAGTATTAATAAACCATTTTTCATAAAGGATAAGCTGAAATGTTATTTCAGTGTATTCAGTAAACAAATACCTTTCCACCTTTTATTATTCCATGATTATAAGATTAGTATTAAACCTCTTATCAACAGACATTCTCTGAGAAATTACATAAGTACATTGCCTCAGCAAATTGATTCAATATTTATCACAATCCAGAGATTTCTCTAACCAGCATATATGTTTTTCCCCAAAGAGAACTTGAGTTTATGAAGTACCATGATGATGACAAGAAAAAAATTGAAGATCTGGAAAAAGCTCATTTTCTAGAAGTTCAGCATTTACAAGCTCGGGTAAGAAACTTTGTGACTTTTATTTATTTTGGAGGCATTATTAATTTCTTTGTTACAATTTTGATACAAAGAAGGGCAGATTATAAATAAATAAACATTGTGGTACTATAAGATGTGGAGATTATTTATCCCTGATTAAAACAGGGACTTGAAGCAAACCTCATGTTCTGATAGATGTTTTATTAACTTGTCTCAAGAAAAGGAAATATCACAAATCATTTTGTAATGGTTGCCTATATTATTCTTAGATTAGAAAACTGGAAGCAGAAGTGTTCGAGCTACTGAAGCAAAACGAAAGCCAAATGAATAATAACAACAATATCTTTGAACAACAAAGCTCTGTTGGAGAATCTTCAAAAGAAGATACAGCAGAAACGCTTGATGCCTTAGATCAAGGTTTGTTTGAATATGACTCAGATGATGATCTTGTTACTAATGTATGATGCAATTATGGAGTTGTTCTTATTTTCAGAATGTAATAAATGATGTGCTGAACATCTCAAATAATATTATATAAAAATACCTGTAAGATGTATAATTGCATTTTTTGTTTGATTTGTATCTGATTTGTTTTCTGTATTATGTTAATGAAAAAAATTAACAGAGTTTGCACACTCATATATATTACATTTGTTTTACATTTACTCTTATTTCAAGGTGAAAAATGCAGTGACTTCTGTATCTGTAAAAAATAAACCAAAGATTGTGCAACAGTATAAACACCTGTATGTTTATGTATTCAGAGCAGGGTGGACATCTGTATTTGGGCAAGGAGCCATACATATCTTGACAATGAATTTCTCTATCCATTATGTTGAAAATTCTGGGTTGTGAACTGCCCAGAATTTGGTTCAAGATAGGCAACTATATAAATGTTTTAAATAAATAAAAAACATTTCTCATATAATGGCCAGCTGCAGAAGACCAGGGGGATATTAGCATACTTTGTGTAGCACAGTGTAGAAACAGATGGAAGAGAAGTATGACTATATACAGTGTTGGGAAGTGCTTCTTTGTTAATTTATTTACAAATCCATGTATAGGTGTATTTGATTTTAAAATTGGCAGAATCAGACTCAGAAAGGAAAGAAAATAGATACAGCTGAAAATTCTGGAAAATGCAGAATTAAATCTATAATCTAAAGATTTGTTTGTAGTCCCATACACACGTGAATTTTAGGTTGTATAAGTTTGAATAGAATAGAGCTGGAAGGGACCTTGGAGTCTTCTCCCCACTCAAGCAGGAGAACCTATACCAGTGACTATCCAATCTCTCTCTTCTTAAAAACCTCCAGTGATGGAGTATCCACGATTTCTGAAGTTCTGTCCCATTTATATGGTTGATACTTATATAACTCTTTGTCAGACTGGTAATAATTTTAGAGAAAGCACCTTTTCATTTACATAAAACAAATGATTCTGCAATAAAGCAGCTTCTTGCTAATGTGTTTCAGATAAGAAATAGGTTTTCTGATTGTCATTGTCTATATTAGCTTTTAAAAAAATCTCCTTTTAGAACAGTGGTTCTCAACCTGTGGGTCGGGACCCCATTTGGGGTTGAACGACCATTTCACGGGGGTCGCCAAACAACGCAGTCCGCCATTTTTCCCCCCCTTTTCCTTAGCTGTGCTACTCCCTTTTATTCTATTGGCTTTTGAAAGCCAATAGAATAGACTCTCTTGAATAGAGTCTAATTCTATTGGCTTTCAAAAGCCAATAGGAATTGTCCAGGTTGTCTCTGCCCTGCTGAGCCGCCAAAAGTCCCATTCTGCAAATGGTGCTGCACCAGTTGAGTAGTCTTTGACTTATGACCGGTTGAGTAGTCCTCGACTTACGACCAGTTGGGGGTCACGGCATTAAAAAGGTTGAGAACCACTGTTTTAGAAGATATTTGTAATATTTTTAAGATAGGGTATAATATGCCATTGATTAATAGATCTCCTGTGCATGTTTGCAGAAGGAGCTATAAAGGGGGTTGATCCTAATGATGTGTTTGGTAAGTTTTTTTCTGGAGCGCATGATCTAATGTTCAATGTAGAAGTATGTCCATTGTGACAGCTGATGTAATAACTCTCCTGTCTGTTATAACTTTCCTTGCTTTCCACTAGTGTTATAAATGTGTAAATGGATATTTAATTATGGGATCATGTCCTTATCCCATAATACACATAAAGTAGGGCTGCAAAAAAAATAATGTGAAAACATACGTAGTTGTAGATCCATTCCATTTGGTTGTCGCAAATTTGTATACGTACTTCATAGCCTGTACAACTTCTGAAGTCATGTTTTGTTATACCCACTCACATACTGGTTAAATATATGTGTGTGTAGACATGATTTCTGACTTTTTACTATTTCCTGATCAGAAAGTTGGTTTCCATTTCAGGAATCAATATTGTAGAAAGTTGACACCGTTATGCTAACCAATATTTTGAAATCAAACATCCTGATCTTTATGTGATGAAATGTTGTGAAGAGTTATTATCAAATGCATAGGATCAGACTTTTAATATATTAACCATATTGCCAGTATACAGAACGCTGAAATTTAGCTACAACTACACATCACCAAAAGTATGAAATGCTTTTTAGGAAAGAACTGCATACAAGCAAGAGCTTTTTTTCAATAATGCCTAATTCTGTGGACTTCCTGAGTCATACCATGATATAGCTAAGGTAAAAGGCAGTTATTGCAAGAACAACTTCTTTCAATGTATAAAAATTAAAAGTATATAATTCCTCTTTTGTCCAGAAGAAACAGGTTTGATAAAGATTTCTACTGGAATGGCCAATTGGCACTTCTTTCCATATAGATAAAAATATTGTCCTCTAATCTGTCTAAGGTTAGAAACAAAATAAGATGTTCATTAAAATAAGTTTTGATTTTTACTTCAGGGAAAAAGGAATTGTCTAATGCTAAATAACATGTCTACATCTTGGAAAGTATAGGATTGATCATTTGTTACATAGGGGATTCTTTTAAATTTGATTCTATAAACACACTCATATAGGTTGGCTATGTCAGACTTAAGTAAATAGTTAAGTAAGTAATTAAGTAATTGAGTACTTAACTAAGTAATTAAGTAAGATACAGAAGATGGGTTCAATTAAATCATTTACATTTTAGTTGCATTGATCTGATGCTTCTACATGCTTGCCTTGTTCAGTAAATCAGAGTAAATTTAGATTTAATTTCATCTTCCATTAAACTTGTCAGTTTATAATATAGTATTTGAATTAGCAAATTTACACTCACTTTTCATTGGTTAAATGAGGACACATGCATATTTGCTTTGCTCTTCAATTTTATAAGCAAACAGAGTGAAAATGCTCCTTGGCAAAATATTCCTTCAAAAATATAATAGTGATAGGACACTGGAACCGTGTCTTATTCTATGTAGCTAAAAATAAAGATACAGTTGATTTATGCTTGAGTCTTGATAACTCTATCCAAATAATTTTCTTGTCAGCCTTATGCAAGAAGTTTTCATTGCCTTTTTATCATTGGGCCTTGATTTTCCAAGTGGTTCCCCATCCAAGTATTAAATAGGACATAAGCTACCTAACTTCTGAAGGCAATTAAGTTCATATAAGCACTGCTACCTGCTTATGCCTTACCTTAAATATAAAATGTTAGCCTGAATTACAGTATAGCAATGTACCCATACCAATAAAGGCTAAAGTTGAACTATTCAGTTATGTTCCTATTATTGCTTTGATTCATAAATGTATTTTTAAAATTTTTTTTAATTGGAAAATAAAGAATGGCCAGCATAAATTATCTTTAAAGGCACATTGTAAAACAAGATTAAAATTATCTTATTGATGTCAAGTCTCTCCTAAATGCTATTATATTTTCCAGTATAGCATTATAACAGATATTTTAATTATGATTTTCGGTACCGTATCTTCCGGCGTATAAGACAACCCCCGACTTCGGCGCCGATTTCCGCGCTTTAGAAAGTCGTCTTATAAGCTGGAAAATACAATAATTCTTTCACATTTTTATAGCACCTATTGCGGAAGACTGTTGTACTCATATTCTGGATATAATAATTCTGATTTACTTATCAAAATGAATCTTTAAAAAAATCTGTCTTCAAAGTAACATCTACTATGAAAATTCTGTAGTTTTTCATACCAGTTTATAGATATGAGTTTAGTTATTAATCATAAATAAAACAGTTATTTTATTTTATTGGGCATACTCTGTATCAAGACTGTTTTGTGCTTGTGTGATTGAAACCTATGAAGAACACTGAGTACATCAGTTAATGGGGGGAAAAAAAACAATACTTTTCATCTCCAGTTAGCCTCTCTGAACTTCTGCTCTGCTAAGCCTGGTGTCATCATTAAACCCTGTGAAGTACTTGCTTTGGGTAGTAAAACAATTAGTAGCTCTCTTACTAACTCCCAAACATGTCTTGCTTTTGCGTGCTAATAGTCTTTTTGCTGGTTCCTCCCAAGTATTCTGGAGGATCTAATCCTCCATCCCATATTAAAAAAGATTCAGTCCATGGTTTTTTTAGATGGGATGAAAGAAGGAAACATTTGGCAGATACCAAAACTTTCAGCCAGTCCTGGTTGAACTGAGGTGTATTTTATGACACATCTTAAGGAGAAGGTTTGATGAGAATAAAAGTATTCCTATTTGACTTATACAGTAGTTGCATCAATGTCAGGTGCAAAAGCAATCAAAACAGCTCCAATGTTTAGGTCAAGTGATTTCTTTACATTTATCAGTTCACAAGAATTTTACTGTCTGCCTTCCCTTGAGAAACACTTGATATAGTCCTAAGTATTTGATCTCATTCACTTCCTCACTCCAAGTTGAGATATTTATTAATCCCCCTACTGGAGCCTTCTTGCTTTCAGTCATTGATTCCACCACAAACAGAAGTGAAGAAAATTAAACTCATGGTTTTTGATTTCATATATTTACATAAATACATTAAAATGCATATAAATGCATGTATACATTCAAAAAGTATTCTTCATCCAGACCTGAGGAGTAGCGAGTTTATAAAATAACTTGAGAGAAAAAAAAAGAATCAAAATAATTTAAAACTTGATGGAAAGTATTCCAGGGTCTCAAATAATCAAAAGCAAAATGTGGATGGTGAGCACAAATTACATATTACATATCTTGAAATCATTCACCGTTCTAATGTCCACAGTTCCCTCCATGGATATGACATATTTGTTGAGCATTTCAAAATGAACGTGGGGAAAAAATGTGTGTTTTTGGTACTTCTACTCTACCTCCCAATTCTGCTCTAGAAATCTGAAACATTAATTCCAGAATAGGGAGAGGAATCCATAGAATAGAAGAGACAAGTTGATGCCCTCCTCAAAATCTGAATCTTATAGATCTCCCATGCCACTCCTCTAAGATCCTTGGAGCTAGGCTATGTCTTCCCTTGCTTTTTTTTTTTTTTTTTTTTTTTTTTTTTGCCTGCCTGCCTGCTTGCCTATCCCTCTGCCTGTCTAGGTATTTAGGTATCTAGTTATGCATCTATGTTTCTATGTGTCTGTCTATCTCTACTACCTACCTACTTACCTATCTACCTACTTACCTACCTATCTATCATAAAATAAAATAAAAATACTGCCAGGCTTGCAACCAAATAAAACAAGATAAAATATTAAATAATAAAATAATAAATACTAACATCAAAAATTACTTAAAATTAACAAAAAATTGCAAGGAAGGGAGCAAGATGCACACAGAACATAGAGGTGGTTATATTATCTATTGCTGTGAGAAAAATAATTCTATATATGCTGTGTGCTTGAAAATTATTCCGTATTTATTTTTTATAGAATCCCCCTGTTTTAATTCTTCAGCTAAATATATTTTTAGAATTTCAGCACTAGTAAGGAAGAGAAAGGAAAGCGAAGAACACAAGAGAAAGAAAGAAAGAAAGAAAGAAAGAAAGAAAGAAAGAAAGAAAGAAAGAAAGAAAACACAATATTGCAGGAAAACATGAGAGGATGCTTTTTTTGCTGTCACTTTAAAAAGTTTATTTTTATCACTTCTATTCTGTGTTTATTCATGTGCTAAATGGAGAACAACTCCAAAGATGAATGGGGTTACCCAACACAATAACCAACCTTCAAACCAAAGTAGTTCCTTTCGCTTTGCTGATTTTTCTAGTCGTTAAAATAACTAGTCATGTGGTTATCATTGCATGTTTATTGATACCTACATTTGCTAATTCTGTTAATAAGGCTTGGGAGTTTAGCGAGAAGGTGAAAATGATATAAAAGATACCTTTCATAAAAGTTAACTCCTGGATTCCTTGAATAAATGAAGTGAAGAAAAATACTGTACCTGCTGGGCTGTAATCACCCTTTCTTCAAAAGAGGCTAATTAAAAGTTTTCTTGCAAGATAGTCTTTGATTTTGAGTTTTCTGGCACCTACATGCCTGCTGCTCAAGGACGCAGAATTTCCCAATATACAAATACTCACTATCCACATACATTTAGCTTTGGGAGAAATGTGGATATTACTGATATGCTCAAACTATATTAACTATATTTTCCTTGTTTTTTACTGTTCCCCAGGAGAAACCAAAATAAAATTATCCTATAATATAATGAGCAACTGTATAAATGATACATAGAAAAAAGGTGGAATCTGGGCATTTAACATTTAATCCCAATTTGAATCCCAATTTAATCCAAATTCAAATTCTCTCTGGAAGAAAAGCTCTCATTTGGTACTTCCAGTACAAATTGGAGTTGAAATGGGAAGCTAACTTATTAGTTGCAACCTTTCTTTAATTTTATTTATTTTATCCCACCATTATTATTTTTACAAATAATTCAAGGCAACAGACATATCCAAAATAACATCCTCCTATTTTCCTGACAACAGCCCTTTCAGATGGATAGGGTTGAGAGATACTATGACTGACCCAAAGTCACCCAGCTGGCTTTCATGGCTAAGATGGGATTTACAATCTCCCAGTTTCTAGCCTAGTGTATAACCACTAGATCAATCTAAATAGATAAAAAATAATTTAATGGATTATAAGAACAATAGGAGGAGAGGCCCTAGCATCTAGAGTGGTTTACATTTCTTAGAATATAAATAATCAATTCCACTCTGAAATACACTCATCTAAACAACATTTCACTGGAAAAATACCTAGCTTAGCTACATTTCTACCCCTGAGGACTTAGCATATGTTAATTTTTAAATAAAAACTTATTCTTTAGCTTTTAACAAACCATCAGGATGTCCCAACATTTTCTAATACAGTTTTAATTACCATGTGACCAATGATCAATTCACCTTGATGACAGTGTGCAAAGACAAATTACTTTCTCTATATTTGATCACTGAAATATAGTTTATTCTAAACATCCTAACATGTAGGATATCCCTGAGTATTGAGACAGTTGAATGTTGTTGTTTTTTCCCCAAAAGATTTCAATGAAGCAGTCCCTGAAACAGAAAGATTGGATTCTAAAGCTCTGAAAACTCGTTTGCAGCTTTCAGTGAAAAACAAAAGGTCACCAACCAGAACAAGATTTTGTGACAGCATCAGCTCCACAGATGGAGAAGATAGTCTTGAAAGAAAGGTGAGTACATTACTATGACAAACATCACTTGTTATTTTGCTCGACTTTTACTGTCCAGGCAATATGGTGGTCCTCATCTTACAACAGTTCACTTAGTGACTGTTTCAAGTAACAACAGCCCTGAAACAAGTGACTTATGACCATTTTTCACACTTATGGCCATTGCAGCATCCCCCAGTCATGTGATCAAAATTCAGTTGCTTGGCAATTGATTCATATTTATGATGGTTGTAGGGTTGCAATATCCCAGGGTCAACCTTTTGCGGCCTTCTGACAAGCAAAGTCAATGGAAAAGCCGGAGTCACTTAATAACCATGTTATTAAGTTAAAAACTGCAGTGACTCACTTAACAACTGTCTTAAGAGGTTGTAAAATGGAACAAAACTCACTTAACAACTGTCTCACTTAGCAACAGAAATGTTGAGCTCAATTGTCAAGGATTACCTGTAGTGACTGAGTTTTGATTAAACTTTATATAGAAAAGTATTCAGTATTTTCTGTTTGAAGATGAAACATAAGTTTTCTTGCAGTCATGCCAAGTTGTCTGAAAGAAATTTATGTACATAAATGTACATTGTGATGTGCTTTCCCCCCCTCTCTTTGTAATGCTATTAATTCTTGTTAAATACTGCAAAATCATACTTAACAGGTAATTTAAGTGCAAAAAAGAAATGCAAATGCTGAAAAAAAAGTTAAAATAGAAGCTGATATGGGCTGCAAAATATGCTTTAAAAATAGTAGTTTAAATATTCAAAATAACTTGATTAGTTCCCAAATGCCTGAATCTGCTTCATAATCTCTTATACCAATATCCTACAGACAGGAAGTTGGGCCCATATACATTACAATATAATATATATTACCTCAGGGGTCCCTAACCTATGTTACGCAGCCTACTGCAGGCCATGGCCTACCGGCTATCGGACCGTGGGACAGTCTGGCCAGAGTGTGCATTCACCTCCACTCGCGCTAGAGCCCACAGACCTGTTTGCGCATACACTCAATGCTAGCAGAGGTGGTGACTAGCGCATGCATGTGCTGCTAGCGCTATGTGGGTTGCGTGGCCTGTTCATGCATGCACGTGGTGCTAGCAGTCGGGGCTAGCACCTGTACACATCCACAAATGGGCTGCTAGTTTTGTGCAGGTGTACATGGCCCTGCAAATTTTACAGCTGCTCCCTTTCCCTCTGGGCGCCAGCATGAAAAGGTTGGTGACCTCTTCATTACATTACAGAATCATTTCTGCCCATATGTATGAGAACATCCTCATCAGCATCAGATTCTGGTGCTTGTTCCCGTTCCCCTGTGGCTAGCAGTGCTACATTTGCATTTCACAATGAAAACTAGGATGAAGATCAGCAGTATATGACTGTTGTGTGTTCCCACGGAACACACAACAATCATAGAGGACAAGTTCTCCTTTCCTTCAACGTTTTGTCAAAGTTATGAAATATTCCAACAATCAGAAATATCTGCCATGATGAAGGTCTAACTAAACGAGTGGCTTGGCTGTCTAGTGGTGAAGATGCTTGCCTCCCGTTTGGAAGGTTGAGAGTTCAATCTTAGGTAGCACAGATGTTTCTCTCCTATGGTGCAAAGAAAAAATAGCCTTCAAATTCTGCATGGTATCAGGAAGGGCATGCAGCTAGTAAACACTCAGCTCCTTCCAGTCACCCCAATTCTATCCTTAATTAAGAGATTACACAGTTGTAAAAAGGGAGTTATGAAAGTATAACTAAATGTGTATGAGACTACATTCATTTTCTCACCTTATATCACTTTCTATGTTCCAGTTGCACTTTAATCAAGAGTCCAAACTGAACTGTTATGTACCTTCAAAATCAGTCTGGATTTAGTTCATTTATTATTTTGAGATTCTAAATTTTAAAGTAAATATTTTTAAAATAATCTATTCCATTTGTCCAAGTTAAAAGAAAGATGGATGATACAATTAGTGTAGTTCCAGGGGTTTTTGTCCAATAAACATGTTAATCTGTTCTAGTAAATCTAACACTGGCACTTCTGGCATCAAATGTTCACAGATTTGTGATGATAAATGTTTTTGTGGTCCTATGAAGTAACTTGAATCCCACAAAACGTACGGCACAAAAATGTTTTTAAATTTTAAAATTCTGCATGGCTCTCTCTAAATTACTTTTAGACGCAAACATTTTCAAGTTCCAGAAATATAACTTTTGTTTTAAATCAAGACTGTAAGATTTAATCTAGGCAGGGTTAAATCTTAAGGTTTGTTCTTATATATAGAATACTCTCAGAAAAGTTTGATAAGTTATTAATATTTTCTGACCTTGTCTCTCTTCCTGAAGACGTATGATTGCAGGGTAGTCAACTTCATCAATGTATTCAGGTGTTATCTAGTGTGTTTGTTATTTTGTTTATTGTGACCAGATCCTATCTTCTTTCGGGTTGTGTAGATTTTTATGTTAACATTTGTGAATTTCCCAGAATCAGTTGAAGTCATGTGATATCTACATTGAAGTTAATTAGTTGATTAAAATCCTATGAAAAGACTGAAACAATTGGACTTAGTGTTTAATGTTGAGAAAAGGAATTGGAAGGGATATAATGTTTGTCATAGTGTCTCTCTTTATACACAGTGCAGATACACACACACACACACGCACACGCACACTGACAACAGGGCATGCGTCTCTCTCTTACACACAACACACACATAGGGCATTTCAATTTCATTGAGCCAAACACTGATATATTTGTTAAGACCTTTGTGTGATTTTTTTCTCTTCACACCTTTATGTGTTTTATAAAGAATTCTTCCATCAGCAGTACTAATAAATATGGAATTGAATTTTATTTTCATTTTTGTATTGATTTAAGGAAAATGTATTTTCTTAGATAAATGCCTTAATTAAAGGTTCAGAATAAATCAAATACATGATTTTTTTTTAATTTTCAGTGTTTTATTGGGCTGCTGCAGAGAAAAATAAATCAGGACATGCATTTCTTTGTGTAATGAATATTAAGGTCTTTTTCATTTAGCACTTAAGGCATCAGTTTTGTAAAATTAGGAGGCTGAAAAATGAACTTCCCAACCAAAAAAGTTGCACAATTTTGATTAAGGTATTTATGATGAGTTCACTATTACTGTTTCAATGGAGTTGAATTTTTCTGGATCCAAATTTTTGCCCTTGGATCTTAATATTTTAAGGTTTGACTTCTCTTGAGTTGTTCTTGCTGCAATCATCCATTTATAAAAAAGAGAACCATTTCAAAGTCTCTAGGTCAGTGATTCTCAACCTTTCTAATGCTGTGACCCCATAATACAGTTCTCCATGTTGTGGTGACCCCCAAGTGGGTGTGGCCACCAATAAGAGGGAGTAGGACAGCTAGGGAAAAGGGAAAAAAATGGCGGACAGCATGGTTTGGCGACCCCCGTGAAATGGTCATTCGACCCCAAATGGGGTCCCGACCCACAGGTTGAGAACCACTGCTCTAGGTAATAATCTTGCACTAATCTATCTAGTCTTCTTTATTGTGCCAGTTTCTTATAGATAGCCATCCATTTTCTAAGCTAACTTTTCTCAGTTCTTTGCCTCTGTGTATGTTGAACTGTAATCCCCAACAGAGACAATGGAACTGTAATTCAATGCAGCCTCAAGGCACTATTAAATTAGAGAAGGTTGCTCTGAGGGCATGTCAAGGTACAATTAAAATTTATTTTAAAGTAGATTTACTCATCAGGAGTAGATGATGAGTAAATAATAATAATTGTTCAATTAACAGGCAAAGAATCTACAATAGAATGCTAGTGGTTTTCCTAATTAATTATAGAACTTAGCTGCTTTTTTTAATTTAAGAAATCACATTGAAAGCCCTTTTAGATTGACTGCAAACTGATTTTAAAGGTTCATATCTATATAGAACAATGGAAGATTAAATCTTTAGCCAGGCTTTATTCACATGCAATTTTTTAAAAGCCTAATTTACTGTGTTCCCATGACCACAGCAGAAAGCACAATTCACTCATGGATCAAAGTGATCCTTTTTCTTGGAAACAGAATCTGCTTTCTCAGCATAGTGGAAACTAAAAACCCAATTGTTAGCCCTGCTGGAAGTGTTTTACTGACTTTTATTCAAATAAAATGAATATGTAGTTTAAAGTAGCAAAATTGTGTAACAAAGTTCTGTGTTGACATAGTTCATAAGATATTATAACAAATCAAGAACCTACAGTCCTTTCTCTCAATCTCTTTTTCTATTTTTCCACATTTATACACACAAACTGAGAGACTGATAGTCTGCACATATGCATTCCAAATAACATGCAATCCAAATCCATTAAGATAAATATAAAAAACAAACCACCTAAACCAGGTTCATAATATAACATCAAAACTAGCAGCAAAACAATAAAACAAAGCAATTTTCCTTCAGAAATCTTTGTAATCAATTGAAATAGGCAAACTAAAACTAAGTGAAAGCAGGACTTGATTCATTTCTTTTAGAGGCAATCTGTGCCTTATTTTATTTATTAAATTTATTATATTGTTGAGTGTAAATTTAGTGGTTATGTGGTTGAACCTGTCAACCATATAGCAAATAGGAAAAGACCAAGAGCAAAATGTGTACAGAAGATAGCCCATCCGCTAAGATGGTTACAAATCCTATAAGTGTTATAAACATTATAATTTTAAATGAGTATTTACCCAGTTGGCATAAACTGAATAATACTCCCTGATTAATCAGCATTTTGGCCACTGCAATTTGCAATCAATTTCTAATCAAACTTAATACAGTATCAGTACAACAAATAATACAATGGTGTAATTCAGTATTAAATATTAAACAAAATTAAGACGACCTCAATTCATGATAACAACATTGAGTTATTTTTATTTCAGTCTAATCTCAGTGTTGTCTGGACTACTAACCAGTCCCAAGCCCAGGCAACAATAGCCAAGCACTGATAACTGTTATAATAGATTTAAGGTGGCATGCATAACTGAGATCAAATCTGT